TGCACTATCTGATAAAGATCTACTAAAATTGAACCTTCTTTTGGGGGAGGAGAACTCTGTTAAAGTAATCCTGAAGGATATTAGAAAGTGGTCAGAGAGGACAGGGTTGTGAGGAAATACTGTTATTTCTTCACATTCTATGCCGTATGTCAGCACAAGATCCAAAGTATGAAGATGAGAATGCGTGGGACTATTCACATTTTGAACAAAGCCAATAGTGTCTAAGATAGCATTAAAGGCTGCTCTTAAGCTATCGCCTTCAATGTCAGCATGGATGTTAAAATCTCCCACTATATAATGAAACATGGTGAAAAGAAAACTAAACACTAGAAATCAAGGAGTAAGGAAAGACAGAATACTCAAAAGAAAAACATAACAGAAACAGAAACCTAACAGATTCAGAACGCTGCTGCTGGAGTCCTCACTAAGACCAAGAGACTGGATCACATCACTCCAGTTCTGAAGTCCTTACACTGGCTTCCTGTGTCTCAAAGAATTGATTTCAAAGTACTTTTGCTAGTTTATAAATCACTAAACGGTTTAGGGCCAAAATACATTTCTGACCTGCTAGTCAATATGACCTTCCCAGACCTCTTAGGTCATCTGGGACAGGTCTACTTTCTGTTCCTAGGGTCAAAACTAAACAGGGGGAAGCAGCTTTCAGTTACTATGATCCTCACATCTGGAATAAACTCCCAGAAACCTGCAGGTCTGCTGCTACTCTCAGTTCTTTTAAATCAATGCTGAAGACCTTTCTTTTTGATGTTGCCTTTCTCTAAATGGCGCTCATTTCTTTACTGTTTAATCTCTTATACTGCACTGTAATTTTTATTCTTGTGTTTTATTCTGTTTTTATTTTTAACTGTTTCTTCTGTGTTTTATTTATTTTTTTAACTGATTTTATGTAAAGCACTTTAAATTGTCCTGTTGCTCAATGTGCAATACAAATAAAGCTGCCTTGCCTTACAGACTTTGTTTAAAAGTAAATCTCTAAGGTATGGGAACTGTAATCTAACAATACATTATAATCTCTGTGTTTGTGAAACAAACTATAACAAGCATTTGCAAAACAATGAAATTCTTACTAAATTAGATTGTACAATGCTTGGAATAAATTAAAAATAAAGACTAAATAAATCCTCTCATGCAGAACAACCAACCTGAACTTTTCCATCACTTCAGGGTTCCAACCAGATGTGTGATGAAATCAAAAAGACAAGCTCTGATAGCTACATTCCGCTTTAGAGCTACAGATCCGACTATTATCCTTACATCTAGTGTTCTAAAATGGCCTGGAACAACAAGGGACGTCTGATAGTCTTTTTTTGCGGAAATTTTTCCACTCAGTTTAAAGAAAACATATCATGCGGTGAAGTCCTCCCTTTTCTTTTTTATATCCTTCAAAACAAAAAGACGTGACTGAACTTTGCACAGACATGTTTATAGAATAAAATATTTGCCAGTTCTTATATATGAAACTGCTAAAGCTCAGATAGATGGGAGAATAACCTCAAGTGGCACTTCTGCCATTAGGAGGGTGCTGCGGCTTCTGTTGGTGAGATGTATCATGTTCACTTCCTGTTCAGACTGCAGAGTTGCGTTGTTGTTCAGTGTTGAATACTGTTGAATACTTACAGGGTCATATTTATTGCTATATATATATATATATGTGTGTATTTTTTTTTTTTTATGAACAAAACTACAACAAAAACTAAATCATGAAATAAAACAGCAAGATTGGCAGTAATGAGAGTGGAGACAGAAGACACTCAGACTTTACTGAAGAAAACCTGCTGCTGACCAGGTGAGCTCTGGGGAGAATGTCACTAGAGTCACTGAAATAGAGGTTGAGGAAACTCTCTTTCTGAACCGGAAAACTGGATTGTTTTTTTTTTTACTTTTCTGGAAGTTGTTGCAAATTTCATGACATGTAGTTGGCAACAGAAATAAAACTCAGGATGAATTAAAGAAGAAATCAAAACCAGGAGACACCAGCAGTGAAAAAAGAACAACAGGAGGAGTATATATGGGGGGGCCGAACAAAGACTGGGCTAATCAGCTGATATGAAACAGGTGTGTTTAGAAGAAAAAAGAAGCTAGGGGAAAGGAGACTGGCACAAGGGGGCAACAGAGAGCAACACAAAAAACACTGCTTAAATATAACTAGAAAGCGACTACAATGACACAAAATGGAAAATAATCAATTACCAAGAAAACACAGAATGACATAAATCAAAGTGTCATTAAAAAAACAAACAAAAAGAAACTTAAACAGAACCAAAAGGTCCACAAAGGACAGAATCATTACATAAAAACCTGGATGACTCTTAACTTTCTGCTCCTGAATGCAGACAAAACAGAAGTTATAGTCTTTGGACCAGAGTCTTTGAAAAAGAAGCTGATTAGCCAGTCACTTCATTTGGATGGGATTAAACTGATCTCATATAATAAAGTACAAAATCTTGGTGTTGTTTTTGATCAGGACCTGTCATTTAAATCCCATATCAAAAAGGTTTCTAGAATTTCCTTCTTTCATCTGAGGAATATTGCAAAAATTAGAAATCTCCTGTCCAGGACTGATCCTGAGAAACTAGTCCATGCATTTGTTACTTCAAGGCTGGACTATTGTAATTCTTTACTATCAGGAAGTCCACAAACTGTAGTTAAAAGCCTTCAGCTGATCCAAAATGCTGCAGCCAGAGTTCTGATGAAAATGAAAAAGAGAGATCATATCTCTCCTATCCTGGCTTCTCTTCATTGGCTTCCTGTTAAATCCAGAATAGAATTTAAAATCCTCCTTCTCACATATAAAGCCTTAAATGGCCAAGCTCCATCTGATATCAGAGATCTGATTGTTCCTTATGTTCCTAACAGAGCACTTCGATCTCAATCTGCAGGTTTACTAGTGGTTCCTAGAATTTCTAAAAGTAGAATGGGAGGCAGATCTTTTAGTTATCAGGCTCCTCTCCTGTGGAACCAACTACCAGTTTTAGTCCGTGAGGCAGACACCCTGTCTACTTTTAAGGCTAGGCTTAAAACTTTCCTTTTTGATAAAGCTTCTAGTTAGAGTGGCTCAGGTTATCCTGAGCTATCTCTATAGTTCTGCTGCTATAGGCTTAGACTGCTGGAGGACATAGGGACCCCTTTTTCATCATTCTGCTTCATTCTATCTTTATTCTCCCACTCTGCAGAAGTTGTTGGTTCAATCTCTAATATTATGCCAGTTTTAGTCTGTGAGGCAGAAACCTTGTCTATTTCTAAGGGTCGGTTTAAAACTTTCCTTTTTATTTATTCCCCCGTTCTGCAATATCTATTAGTTCAATCTCTAACGTTCTGCTCTCTCTGCTTTTTCTCATAGTAGCTTCATCTGGTCTGTTCCTGTTTGGCTGTGACTCCATCCTGGAGAGAAATATCAGCTGTGCTGCTGCCACCAACACCTTTGTTTATAGATGTTGGAGATCTGCCATTTTTTCAGTGTAGTCCTGTTTCTCTGACTGTGACTAACTGGATGTGTGCTCTTCATTCTCTGTATTTCTGCTTCTTTTTCTATGTCTACTTCTGTTTCCTTGAACCCCAGTGGGCCTCAGCAGATGGCCGCTCACACTGAGCCTGATTCTGCTGGGGGTTTCTTTCTGTTCAAAGGGAGTTTTTCCTCTCCACTGTCGCTGCCAGAATGCTTCATGTGAGGGATTGCCTTCGAGTCGATGCAATCAGCTAGTTTTCCTTAGATCAAAAACTCTGAACCAATCTGACAGAATGATCTGGTTGAATTGTAAAGTGCCTTGAGATGACATGTGTGGTAAACTGGCTCTATATAAATTAACTGAAATCAATTGGATTTAACATCGGGTTCTTAAAGCTTGCCACAGATTTTCAGTTAGTTACAGATCAGGACTTTGACTAGGTCATTTTAACACACAAATCTGCTTTGATCTAAACCATTCACAGCATCTCTGGCTGGATGTACAGGCTGGTTTTCCTGCTGAAGAGTGAAGTTCTTCCACAATCTTGAACAGTTTTTTTCCCCTGGGTTTGTCCTGAATCTAATCAGAGAAGCTTCATTTTCCCTGGGGAAAAAAGTAACCCCACAGCATTATGCTGCCACCACCATGTCTCACATAAAGATGTTCATGTAACATTTTATTTAAATTAAATAGTTATGTTTTAGTCTAATCACACCAGTTTGTTTACTTGTTTGCTGCATCTCCTACATGCCTTGTTGCAGGCTGTAAACAGGAAATTTGGTTTTTAATCCCACAGTATCATGCTCTAATAGCATGCTTCATTAGGGGAGGGGTCTGTTTAGGTATTAGTTTTCCACCAAATATGGCAGTATGTGTGTAGGATAAAAAGATGTATGGGGGCCTCGTCTCAGTATATTTGTTGTAAAGGTGTCCCTGCTTCCACACACCTGTCCCTTCAGACTTTTGATTCAGGTAGGGGACACATCAAGTTGCAGGACAGTGACCTTCAAAGATTTGACTTTCGCTGACCACTTGTGCATGATAGGTTAGTCTAAAAGAGAAATAAATCCAGGCCTGACAGAACCTAAATGCTGTACCCTCTGTCTGTTACATGTTAAGTGTTTAGTTAACAGCTTTTTGTCATTTTTTTATAACTTAATTCTTCAGATTTGCATTTTTTTAACAGATTAGAGTAAAAACTGTAGAGGTATTATGAAGATAATATTTCAAACATCTAGAAGACAGTCAGGTCTCTGAAAGCTCGACATAAATAAATCAGATCCGGCTCAGGACTTTTGCACAGTATTAGATATGGTGGCCCAGTGTGCATTTCTCCACAGTGGGTCCTTCAAATGGTACAAGACCTTTGTTGCATCGACAGTAAGCAGATTCCACTGAAATGTCTGTTAGGTTTAAGAGGGTCTTTAAATGGATAATGGGAAATCTTTGCTAAAAATAAATACTTAACTTGAAAACAACAAAACTGACCTTGTTGTCACTGTTAAGGAACAAAGCGAGAGAACGCTTTAAACTTACCCTGTTCTCCTCATCTCTGAGGTCCGGCATGGTGCTGATGCAGAGGCTGATGACAGTTACCAGAACCATGATGATCGAGAGACACGCAAACATTTTCCCGGCTATACCTGAGTGAGGGTTTTCCATCACTTCCCGCAGCATCAGCACCAGTCTGCGGTATCCTTTTTCCGTCTGTGGGGGTCTTTGCTTCAGCTTTATTCTTTTCTGCCTCCACTCTTTCTCTTTCCGCCGGCGCTCCACCACCTCATCCACACGGGTGATCATCCGCCGCCGGCAGCAGCGTTCCATGTGGCCCGGGTCCACGCCCCAGTAGTCAAGCTCATCATGCAGAGAAACAGCACACAGCTCCCGTAGAAGACGCAGTTTTCCCGCGGCAAGGAAGTTCAGGATGATCCTGAAGGCTGTGGGGTTCCTGTCAAAGAAGTACTCCCTGCAGGTTTCATCGTAGTCGTCACAAAGTCGAGCAATCTCCTCCGGGGTGGTGCAGGATCGAAGACGACCCAGTCGACTTTGGGGAAACTGCTCCAGCGTGCTCCAAGGGAAGGTATAGCGGTTTCCCCCTACATTGATGAGGACCTGCAAGGTGTGGTCGACCACATAAGAAGCCTTAGGGTCACGCAGCAGCAGGGCACGCTGGAAGTAGACCCCCTTTATGGTCTCAGTCTCAGGGATCTCAGTGAAGAAGCGGTCAAGACTACTGTCATCGCTGCTGATAGAGTATGTGCTGAAGTCATGGTTTGTATTGCTGATGATGGGCATACTGGCAAAATATTGGAGACAGGGATGGAGGAACTTTCTGTAGATCCAACCAATGGGGAAGATCTGCAAGGAGTAAGTATTTTAGCTGTAATACATTAAAGATTCTGCAAACATGTGCTACTCATGCATAGGAGGATGGGAGATTTCATATTTAATATTTCTGCATAGATATTCTATAGAGGAACTGTAAAAAAAGATCTGCCATCACCTTAGCTAAAAAAAGTTATAAAAACCCAAATTGACTTATACCTACAAGCCTGAACAAAACTTTTTAATTTTTCATTGCCATATAAAATTAAATACATTCAAAACCAAAGGAAAACATTCATTTTATTTTTATCTTTTTTATATGTCTGCATCTCAGCCTGCTGGACACTGGATATGCAAATCAGCTTTTTTAAAATAACAAAATATCAAGTCAGTTTTATAATAAAAAAAAAAATACATTTGAGAGTTGAATATGGATTAATTAAAGGAAAGAGCATTTACGATACAGATACATAAATACAGAGAAGAAAATATTTATTTGAAATTAATGCTATTTTGCAAGTTCTCCCACTCCACTCCACAAATCATGGAGGGGTTTGAAAATGTCATCATAGGTGCATGTCCACTGTGAAAAAATCTCTTTTTTTACTTTCTATTTGTATGATCCAGCTGCAAATAAGTATTTGAACACCTGTCAATCAGCTAGAACTCTGACCCTGTTAGTCTTCCTTCAAAATGTCCTCCTCCACTCCATTTATTATCCTAAATTAGATGCAAGTGTTTGAGGCCGTTAGCTGCATAAACACACCTGTTGTCAGGAATCCAGTTTGTGTGGTCTGTTTTTGTGTTTCCTTTCCTCCTCCACACAGCACCGCAGCCCGTTCAAGTACCGCAGGAAATCAGAGTGGCAGTCAGCTTCTCCGTTCACTCCAAACAGGAAGTTTGGATCAACTTTCTCCAAGAGGTCGTTCGAGCTTCACACCGAGCAAAGGTTTCATCTGCACCGCAGCCCGTTCAAGTACCGCAGGAAATCAGAGTGGCAGTCAGCTTCTCCGTTCACTCCAAACAGGAAATTTGGATCAACTTTCCCCAAGAGGTCATTTGAGCTTCACACCAAACAAGGATTTCTTCAGCACTACAGCCCGTTCAAGTACTGCAGGAAATCAGAGTGGCAGTCAGTTTCTTCATTCACCAGGGAACAACCGCAGCCTGAGTAACCCAGTCCACCCATCACCAAACAAGTCAATCTCTGGTTTAATCCTCACAGTTTGGATTCCATAAAGGACACCTTTCCCTGGAGAAGTGAGTCTGCAATCTTTTCCTCCAATTCTAAAACCTAAGATTCTAATTTCCCACTGAGCCTGAACTAACCGCAGTCTCTTCCCCTCACCTTTCAGTCCCTGTTGAGCAGTGCTCAGAGCAGCACTGGATTCCTCACATCATAACTAAATAAACCTATTTAAACTTTTCCCTGGTCTCTCTGTTTGGTCTTCTGCATCTTGGGGTCAGACCTTAGAATTAATATAATCATGACACCTGTCCACCCCATACAATCAGTAAGAATCCAACTACTAACATGGCAAAGACCGAAGAGCTGTCCAAAGACACTAGAGATAAAACGGTACACCTTCACAAGGCTGGAAAGGACTACGGGGGAAATAACCAAGCAGCTTGGTGAAAAAAGGTCCACTGTTGGAGAATTCATTAGAAAATGAAAAAGAACATGACTGTAAATCTCCCTTAGACTTGGGCTCCATGCAATATATCCCCTGGTGGGGTCTCAATGATCCTAAGAAAGGTGAGAAATCCTCCCAGAACTACGCAGGAGGAGCTGGTCAATGACCTCCAAATAGCTGGGACCACCGTTTCCACGGTTACTGCTGGTAATACACTAAGGCGTCATGGAGTGAAATCATGCATGGTACGGAAGGTTACCTAGCATAAACCAGCATATTTTAAGGCCTGTCTTAATTTTGCCAATGACCATTTGGATGATCCAGAGGAATCATGGCAGAAAGTCATGTGAGACCAAAATAGAGCTTTTTGGTCATAATTCCAGTAACTGTGTTTGCAGGAAGAAGAATGATGAGTACCATCCCAAGAACACCATCCCCACTGTGAAGCATGGGAATGGTAGCATCATGGTTTGGGGGTGTTTTTCTGCACATGGAACAGAGCAACTGCACTGTATTAAAGAGAGGATGACCGGGGCCATGTGTTGTGGGATTCCCTTTCCTCACTCAGAGCATTGAAGATGGGTCGAGGCTGGGTCTTCCAGCATGACAATGATCCGAAGCACGCAGCCAAGAGGTGTGGCTCTGGAAGAAGCATATCAAGGTTCTGGCATGGCCTACCCAGTCTCTAGGCCTTAAACCCAAAAGAGAATCTTTGGAGGGAGCTCAAACTCTGTGTTTCTCAGTGACAGCCCAGAAACCTGACTGATCTAGAGAAGATCTGTGTGGAGGAGTGGGCCAAAATCCCTCCTACAGTGTGTGCAAACCTGGTGAAACACTACAGGAAACATTTGACCTCTATAATTGCAAAAAAATGCTACTGAACCCAATATTAACATTGATTTTCTCGGGTTTTCAAATACTTTTTTGCAGCTGGATCATACAGATAAATTGTTAAAAAATTATACATTGTGATTTCTGGATTTTTATTTTAGATTATGTATCTCACAGTGGACATGCACCTACGATGGCAATTTTGGATCCTTCATGATTTCTAAGTGAGAGAAATTGCAAAACAGGAGGGTGTTCAATACTTATTTTCTTCACTGTAAATGATCCAACAGGAAGAATATGTGGCGGTCCAAATGTTTGCCAGTCCAGCCTTCCAGACCATTGAAACTTGTTTTATCTGTCCTAAGACAGAATATTACTCCCAATCCCCATCTTATTCAACTTTTCCTCAGCAAATCTCCCCAGCTGTTTTAAAACTCGCCATTTCTTAATGGAAAACGAAAGTCAAAAAATGTGTTACAAAACTCTATCTAAACAGAATAATACCTTCCTATATTCCCTCTAACCTGACTCCGCCAGATGGATTTGCTCCACATATCCATCTGGAAACCTTCCGTTGAAGTAATTTTGGGAAGGTGCGAAAATACTGGTTAGCTGATTGGCCTATGTTGGTGATAGACGGGCCAAATAAACCAATCAGATCAACGAAGCATATGATGTACTAACAGAGCAACGACGAAGAGGAGCCAATTGATAGATCAAACTCTTGCCTAAACCAGTCGGGAGAAGAGCAAAAACATCTTTTCCTCTGAGAAAAGCCTCCACAGCAGTGTTTTGCTCTTCTTTCAGCGAAGAAATACTCTGTAATTCTGATAAAACTTGCTCGATAGCCACGCTAACGCTAGTTTCATCGGCTGAAGCCGCCATGTTCTTTAGACTGAACTGTCGCGCTTCCCGTTGCGTCACACCTCAACCCGCCTCAAAGCCAACGCTGATTGGACGTTCGTTTTGCGAACGGCTCCAAATTTTCTTTAACGGAGAGTCTCCAGACTGATCTGCGAGTGAAACCTTGAAAGCTCGCGAGATCAGGATGGTCTCACGAGGCTATATTCCCTCAGCATCGTATGAAAAGGTCAAATCCCAGAGCCAAGAAGAAGGTATACATATTAGTGTTGCACCAATACCAATATCGGGTGGGGCCCCGATCCAGCACTAAAATGGTGGCATCGGTATCGGCCAGTACCAACAAATAGGGCACCGATACCTTTTTGAGAGCCAAAAGTTTATTCAACTATTGTCTTTTTCCTGCTTCACAAAGGTAAGCAGCAGTTTGACAAAGCCATGATGGCAAATATTTTACATCCACGTAGTATGCAGTTCTTCATATATACACACATCAATTTCAAACAGATGGTATCGGTATCGGTATCGGCTGATACCGCACAGCCAGGTATCGGGTATCGGTATCAGGTCAGAAAATGGCATCAGTGAAACACTAATAAATATCAAATCACTGATGTCCAAAAAACACCTGAAGCAGCAGTGTATCTCTCTGTAAATCTGATTTTAATCTGAATCCTGCAACGTATTGATTTTAACCCATTGTTCGCGTCAGAAGCATCAGGACGCACTGAAGGATAATCCCGCCTCTGTTTCCACTTTCTTTCTGGATCCTCTGACGCATTTTTCCTTTTCCATCAAATCTGCTGCTTTATTAGTCTCCGCTGAACCTGCTGAGAACTTCTGGACTCCATGATAGAGTGGGAGCCAGTGCTGATGTGAAGCTGCTCTTAAACAAACCTGTCATCTGAATAAAATAAAGTTGGATAAAAAGATAAGTGAAGCTGGGTCACCTGTCAGAGCGCAGCCGCTCCGTCCTCCTGCAGAAAGAAGCTCCTCCTCAGCTGGAGCTGGAGCTGCATCAGCTGCGCTGCTCCGACATCATGAAGTTTGCAGATGCTTTGATCCCCAGCCTCCCATCTGTGTTTCCACCTTTCCACGCCGCGTGAACAAAGAAAGATGCGATTATCTAACAGCGGCGCGCAACCAGAACCCGCTGCTGTGTTTTCATCTGGCTCCAGGACCGTCCTCCTCCTCCTCCTCCTCCTCCTCCTCCTCCTCCTCCTCCTCCTCCTCCTCTTTCTCTTTCTCTCCTCCTCTTATTTTCCCTTCTCATCAACAGGCTCTACACAAAAACAGACTCCTCTCCTCTCCGAAGTTTGGTGCTTTTCAGTTTTAATTTCACAAAGTAAAACCAGGTAATTGATTGGAAGCCAGATTCTTCAAATACATGAAATGCAGAGATTAAACATACAGAGTCAGAAGGATGATCTGATTTAGAGAAAACCTAATCCTGATACAGGCAAGCAGAGATGTGCGTAAAAGTGATGGAGTCAGAGTGGCTGCAATGTCTGAAATGGCCACTGGGGCCAAAAGGCCATCAGGAGAGAGACTGTGTTTAGCTGTACAGGCAGTAACCAAATATCCGACAGTCGATCCCTCCCTTCCATATCTACTACAGAGTATTAGGCCAGGCTAGATAGTTTT